GACCCTCCGCAGCCATGCGAGTTATTTAGGATTTGCAGGCACCACGTTGCTGAATTAGACGATGCACTAGGGTCTTCAATGTGAACAGCGGTCAACGATATCACTCGATATGTCTATAAAATAAACTCAAACGCAGTGATCCGGCTCGAAGGACCAACAATTTTTTATGGTTATGAATTAGTGGACTGCATAATCTTTTAATATACTGGCGGTTATGTTACAACGTGTATATTAACAGCGGGGGTTGTCTATGATGCGGCGGTATAAACTATGCGTGCGGTTGGTTTCATCTAGAAATTTCTACTAACTTCCACTCCACAAAAGAAGTCGAGCCAAAAGGGAATTGAAAGATCAGGCGATGCGACGGTCCAATGCAAAACGGTACACATCGTTGTATGCGTGTGCAGCTGCGGGCTTTAGCCATACGTGTGAGAACATTACCGCTATGTTTTGGACACGAGCAATAACAACACAGCTATGCGCGTAAAACTAGTTACCTAAGCGGTACAATACACTCATGAGCGTATGAATAGGGCAGTTGTAATATACATGAACATTGAACTAAAAAACTACGCGGCTCATTTCTCAACAATAATAGTATATAAAGATGAAATGCAAATGTTTTCTAATTCAACCGCCAACGAGACGAAGAAGTCAGCAAATTTTACATAGTCATTTTATTTTTTTTTTTTCTCTTTCTTGGTTTTGTTTTTTGAGACTCACCCAGATACTCGACGAAGGCCTTCTCGAACATCTGTTGTAGTTAGATGTTTTTGGGTTTAAATTTGGTTTTTTGCTTAATAGAGTATTTGTGTCGTGTTACATTGTTGTTTTGATTGTTTCACAAGTCATTTCGGATCTTCTTGCACACCGTTTGCATGTTACAGTTCATTTTCACTTGTTCCTTTTTGATCCGGTTGTGAATGTGTTTGTGATCTTGAATTCTTGGTCTGCCAAAGAATGTTGCGTCGGGGAGCCTAGCCACTTTTCTAGGGTTTTCCTGCCCTTGACGAAAACTGATCTTTTCGATAGAACCGTAATTATACCCGATACTCAAAATGAGTATTGGGGTATATTAGATTTGTGGTAAAAGTGGATGTGTGTAACGTCCAGAAGGAATCGTTTCCGACCCTATAAAGTATATATATTCTTGATCAGCATCAATAGCCGAGTCGATTGAGCCCTGTCTGTCTGTCCGTCCGTCCGTCTGTCCGTCTGTCCGTGCCCTTCAGCGCCTAATGCTCAAAGACTATAAGAGCTAGAGCAACGATGTTTTGGATCCAGACTTCTGTGATATGTCACTGCTCCAAAAATATTTCAAAACTTTGCCCCGCCCACTTCCGCCCCCACAAAGGGCGAAAACCTGTGGCATCCACAATTTCGACGATACGAGAAAACTAAAAACGCACAATCGTAGAAGATGACTATATCTTCTAGAGTGCAAAATCTGAACCAGATCGTATAATTATTACAGCCAGAATCACGAAAACAATATCACTCTTTCTCGCTCTGTCTCACTCTAACACACAGGTTTCATGGTCGGTTTTGCCAATTGCAAAATATGAGTTCAAGGATCTCAGAACCTATAAAAGCCAGAGCAACCAAATTTGGTATCCACACTCCTGTGATATCGGACCTTGACCGTTTCGTGTCAAAATTTCGCCACACCCCCTTCCGCCCCCGCAAAGGACGAAAATCTGAGGCAACCACAAATCTCAGAGACTATTAAGGCTAGAGTAACCAAATTTGGTACACACACTCCTTTAAGATGTCACTATAAAACGTATTTCTCAGAATTTCGCCCCACCCCCATCCGCCCCCACAAAGGACGAAAATCTGTTGCATCCACAATATTGCAGATTTGAGAAAACTAAAAACGCAGAATCATAGATAATGACCATATCTATTAGATTGCTGAATCTGGATCAGATCAGATCATTTTTATAGCCAAAAGGAACAAATCAATTTGCAGTGGCTACGCAGCGCCCGACGTCACGCTCAGACTGATTTTCTGTCTCTCTCGCACGCACTCTTTGTCGTGTCGTTAAATATTAGCGCCATCTGCCGGAGGAGAGCCATACTGACTTAGTATCGGGTATAACTGTAGAGTTGCGGTGTCCGCAGCAACTCACAACGTTCCCCCTCGTTTTTCCGTCTCCTTGTGTTGCTCGTTGTGAACAAAAACACTGGTTGGAAGCGCCCTGGTCATCCGAAACTATTGGATAATACATTTTTGAAAATCCATGTTTTCTTTAAAATTCTTTCCACTCTATATTTACCTGGCCGAAATCTATGTAACTTTTGCCACAATAAATACCGGGATTTATTTAAAATTGTCCACGGATTCCTTCAATACTTTGCGATTCAAATTCTTTGTTTTAAGACGACAAGGTCTGTTCAGGTTCACTTGTAAAATCCAGAGAAAAATCTCTGAGCCCTCCAAGAAGCCCTTCTCGGTCCATTTAGAACGATCGAGTCAACCTTCTTTCGCAACAGCTGATAGTGCTGCAAAACTCCGAATTGTACGTAAAAACGTAATGTGTTTGAATTTCCCGCCTAGTCGACAATCAAAATCTTAATTTGAAGAAAACTACATACAAGCTTATGTTTCTGATATTTCTGCCACCCATGAGCACTACAATACCTCGCTACCTATCCTCGCCACTTCAAGCAACGGAGCTGCATGGATTCGCCGATGCTTCGTCTCATGCATACGCCGCTGTCATCTACAGTCGCGTGAGACTCAATAATGACTATGTTGTAAGACTAATCGCCGCAAAAACCCGTGTTGCACCCATCAAATTCCCCCCTACGCACTTGGAACACTTATGTTTTTAGTCGCACAGCTCAGATTCTGGAAACTTTTCCACGTAGCTGCTGGCAGCACATTCGCACTGAGAACAATACCGCGGACTGTGCATCACGCGGACTTCTACCAAAGGATCTGGTAGAACATCAACTGTGGTGGAATGGACCACCGTGGCTTCCCCAATCACATCGCACTTGGCCACCTGCTAAGACAAAGTTCGCTCTGTCGACTGAGGACGCTGAGCGGATAGAAGTAAAGGTCAAGCCCCAATTTAATCTACACATTTCCGATGAAGGAAATGATCTTAATTGTATGATCAACAAAGCTTCCTTCTGGTCACATCTCTTGCGGAAAATTTGCGATTAATTTCGCCTATCGTCATGGGAGCTTCAATATGCCCGCTCTAGGGTAATCAAACATGTCCAGATGGAGTTCTTCCAAGTGGAGTACAAACAGCTGAGCACTGGACTAGCACTTTCGCAAAAATCCAAGTTGATTCGCTACACTCCATTTGTTGACGACCACGGAATTCTGCGCGTAGAAGGACGCATTGGCAATTCGATGGCAACCTATGATGCAAAACATCCCATTCTTCTTCCAAAGGAATCTCCAGTCGCTGTTTTATTAGCTTGACACCAGCACGTCACATCGCTACACGCTGGAGTCGAATTTATGTTCCACACGTTGAGACAGAAGTATTGGATCCTTGGAGCCCGTAACATAGTCCGCAAAATTATATTCAACTGCAAGATTTGTGTACTCCAGCGCAAAGGTACGAGCACACAACTCATGGCTGATCTTCCCGCCTTTTGCGTTCAGCCCGCTGCTTTCTACATTTCGGATTGAATTACGCTGAACCAGTTACCATCAAGACATCAGCAGGTCGGACACCGAAGTTTGGCAAAGCTTGGTTTGCCATCTTTGTTTGTCTGTCAACCAAAGCAACTCATATCGAGCTCGTCAGTGATTTGACGACTCCCGCATTTATCGCTGCTTTCAAACGGTTTTGGTCTCGACGTTGCCCTATATCCGATATGTACTCAAACATTCCATGGAGCCAGAAAGGAACTAACGGAGATGCAACGGATAGCTGTATCTCAAAGTCAGGACGAGAAAATTGCTAATTTTCTGACGAGTCAGTAAATCAACTGGCACTTCATTCCGGCGTCTGCCCCGCATTTTGGAGGTATTTGGGAGACAGGCGTACGATCTATCGAACTCCACCTTCGCCGGTAGCAGTGCGTTGACTTTCGAGGAATATTCAACAATTTTAATCCAGATTGAAGGTTTACTCAACTTTCGCCCACTGTGCGCGCCCAGCCTGCAAGCCAAGGTTCAAGGATTCTGGAAACGTTAGAGCCGGTTAGGTTGCTTCCTTGCAACCTCGCACGAAATGGCAGCAGGTACTGAAGGAGCCGAATCAACCGCCTAGCAAGTGGCTGCTTGAGCGAATCACCAAAGTTCATCCTGGCCAAGACGAGAGGGTTCGAGTGGTCACCGTAAAAACAGCCCGCGGAGTTTATAAGAGATCTATTACCAAACTTGCTGTGCTTCCCTTGTTCTGAACAGTCGTTCAGGGGGGCCGGTATGTTGAGAAATGAGCCTCGTAGTTTTTTAGTTCAATGTTCATGTATATTACATCTGCCCTATTCATACGCTCATGAGTGTATTGCACCGCTTAGGTAACTAGTTTTACGCGCATAGCTGTGTTGTTATTGCTCGTATCCAAAACATAGCTGTAATGTTCTCACACGTATGGCTAAAGCCCGCAGCTGCACACGCATACAACGATGTGTACCGTTTTGCAATGGACCGTCGCATCGCCTGATCTTTCAATTCCCTTTTGGCTCGACTTCTTTCGTGGAGTGGAAGTTAGTAGAAATTTCTAGATGAAACCAACCGCACGCATAGTTTCTACCGCCGCATCATCGACCCTCCCGCTATTCACATACATACATGTAAAATACCTTGTAATATAACCACCAATATTAAATAACCAATATAAATAAATAAGCTCAATATTCAAAAGATTATACAGTCCACTAAGTCATAACCAATATCTATGATATAAAAACAAATTAGTGTGGACTTTTGTTTGATCTGTTTTTTGAAATAGTGACAGCAATACAATTAAAATTAAACCAGCTAACAAAAAATTTACTTTCACCTTATCTTATTTATTATATTTTAGGTGAAGTGGAACGGTTACTTAAGGAATACAGACAAAATCAAGAGTTGGTTCGTCGCATCGGCGGACATTATTACCAAATAATATATCCTGTTCAGTTGCGCCATCATGAGAAGATGGGAATATCAACGCGTGAAGTCAGTCCCTCAAAGGTAAGCGAAATATTATAAAATTTATTACATATGTGCATTTCCGGGGATGTGAATCGTTCCATATACTTTTGTCCCGATATTTTGCTATATTAATTGTAACTCAGCTAATTTAACCAATATAGCCATATGATTTTATTAACTTTGATCTGAAAACTTATTAAAATAACCGAAAGTTCGCTTTTACGGTTATGATTTTCTCCTATGAGAAAGATGATTCTTGATAAAAGTTTTTCTTCAAAGTCTCTCTTAAAAGCTAACTAAGTTGCTTGTTAAGGAAATATGAAGTGATTTATGAGAGAATGTGAAGTGAGGTGATAAAGTAAAAAAAGAATGGAAAATTCGTATGATTGAGACACATCAAAGCGTACGAACGTAAGACCCAGTATGAACCTTTTATGGATATATGCCATATTTCTTACTCCCTTTACCATACCCACCGAACTTTCCCTTAAGATTATCAGCCAGGCTCCGGCTTTCCTTTTCACAAAATTTTCCGATTTACTTTTGCAATCTCATAAACTGGTGCTCCCGTTTTCACATTCCACAAGATATTTTCGTTTTTCAAAACGAATACATTATCCTCGACGAAAAGAAAATCAACGGCTTTTTATGCAACAAAACGAGTCTTAATTGCAGTAGGAAAAAAAAGATTACTTATGGATTAACAGAAAGTTAACACCACAGCCAGGGCAATTCAGCTTGTGCACTCTTAATAAATATTTTTTTTACCCCAACAAAATTTGGGTCGGAAAAGATTGGTTAGGGCAACAGCACTTTTCGGATTAGTGCAAACATCTGACGCAGAACTTTTTGGCTATCGGATCGTTGGCAAGAAATAAATGTTTGCGTATAACAGCGCAGACTTTGCTAATAACATGCGCGTAACAGAACAGCGAGGTAAGAAAAACTGTTTCGCGCCACAGTTAATCCAAAATTTAGGTGCAACAAATTTATTATTTGCGCTTTAGCAACCATATTTTCAAAATACATGCTGTTAGCCACAGCTTTTTAGACATGTGAAATACACAAGGTTTGCATCAAAGCGTCTGGATCTTCTTAGCTCGCGCAGTTTCTATCATCATTTTTATCACGATGTAAGTTTTCGAAGCAACAAGGTCAGTCTTTATTGTTTTCCAGAATCGATCAGAAAATGATCACAAATTGTGCTTTAACAGCCATATAGCTGTAACTGTTAATGAATTGGTGTTTTAGCGTTCATCAAGCGTTGGTCCAAGGAGCTTGACGACCCGTATGTGACCAAACAACTGTGCATCTCACTAGTTCGTCCGATATTGGAATATTGTTATTCTGTGTGGAGCCCGCATTATAAAGAGCAGCAGGGTGTTATCGAATCAGTGCAAAAATAATTTTTCATTTTCGTCCCTCGTAATCTAAACTGAGACTCTGGTAGAATCTTACCACCGTACTGGTCTACGCTAAATCTTATAGACCTGCCTTCATTGCACCCTAGCAGAGTATTTTTTGGGGTAAAGTTTGTGTATACACTGCTTCTCGGGATGGTTTACTCCCAAAAATTTTTTTTTGGTCAGATTGACTTTGCAGTTTTATCAAGACCTACCCGTACTTTTCGGGATATCCGCTTGCCCCTATGTATATATATATATATACACAGGGTGCGCTATATTTTATAACGGTATATAAACATCGAATAACTTTGTCATTTCCCAATCGATAGATTTCAACATAGATGTTTTCGAAACTTAAATTTTAGCCATGGATCGCTTTATACGAAAAGAACGCGATGTAACATTCGTGCCGAAATCAACGCTATAACAGATGCTCCAAAAAGTAATGGCAAACGCAGAAAAAAGAGCGCAATTTGTAATTTCTAATAGAGGCGGCCACTTCATTGATAATGTATTCAAAACATAGTCTAAATATATTTTAAAGAACAAAACCAAATAAAAATACCACACATATGGAAATCGTCTATTTTTTTATGTTTTTCAATGTTTACATACCGTACTAAAACTTGGCGTTATATATATAGTTAAATATCCGCAACACGATTTTAAGTTTTTAAAAAAGATTTTAGTTCACAACTTAAGATCTTTATGTCACAAGATTTTTAATGAATTCCCCGACTTAACTTTACGTCTTGTCTCAAACGGAACTAATTTCTCTATTGTTGGCTAGCTTCCATGAGCCCTTCTCTCGACTCTGGCTTCGGGTGCTGCTTTCCTCGGCTGCAGCTTCGTTTCGGTGGCGTACGTGCCTGGACCGATGTTTGGGGATGCGTCGGCTTTTGATCAAAGGCATCCGTTGCTGGCGATCGGTGTTGCATTACATGAGAGAGCTAGGAATGTGATACTCCTTGGTTTTATGACTAGCTCTGATTGGTCCTCATGAGTGGCATGATTCTAACGGATCGATTTCTTGAGGGTGGTGTGATTCTGGCGTTGATGAATCAATGGGGTCCATTGTTTAGATTAGTGGACTCTACCTGGAGTGTGGGAAGAATCGTTTATCGATTCTTCGGTGGTGTCCTCTTACTTTTGTGGATGGGGTGGGTGAATTGGACATAAACATAATGTGTATGTGAAGTGGAGAGTTATGGATATGTCATATATATATATATAGTTAAATATCCGCAACTCGATTTTAAGTTTTTTAACAAAGACTTTTATTTTACAACTTAAATATCTTTATGTCACAAGATTTAAATGAATTCCCCGACTTGACTTTCGGTCTGCTTGTCTCAAACGGAACTGATCTCTCTGCTGCTGGCTAGTTTCCATGAGCCCTTCTCTTGGAACTCCCGACTCTGGCTTCGGGCGTTGCTTTCCTCGGCTGCATCTTCGTGTCGGTGGCGTACGTGCCTGGATCGATATTTGGGGATGCGTCGGCTTTGATGAAAGGCATCCACTGCTGGCGATCGGTGTTGCATTACATGACGGAGCTAGGAATGTGATACTCCTTGGTTTTATGTCTAGCTTTGATTGGTCCTCATGAGTGGCGTGATTCTAAAGAATCGATTTCTCGAGAGTGGCGTGATTCTAATGTTGATGAAACAATGTGGTCCATTGTTTATATTATGGAGGGCCCTAGCTTGGAGTATGGGAAGAAACAGTTATTGATTCTTGAGTGGGGTCCTGTTACTTGTGTGGATGGGGTGGATGAATTGTACATAAACATAATGTGTATGGGATGTGGGGAATTATGGATATGTCACTCCCCCAACGTTTGTTATTAGCCTGTCCCTAGGCGATTACCCTCGGGTATAGTGACGGGGTGTCAAGTGCGGTGGCTGAGGTTGGTTCCTCTTCTGCTTCTATTATAGGGTTTATACATTTAACCGTGACTCTTTTAGAAGTTTTCGTAAATTTAACAGCTACATAACTTAGTAGTACTAATATAATTATGAAAAATGAAATTAGTAGACTTATTTGTAATAGGTTACTATATGTGGTGTATTGCATAATTATTTCATTAGTTTGGATATACGACAGTGGTTTTATTTTAGTTATGTTGTTGTTGACATAAACATTCTGGGCAAAATCTAACATTGTGTTTGATATTGTAAATTCATTTAATTGGATTGAACAGTTGTAGATTTTTATAATGGTATTTCCTTCCGCTATGATTTCTTGGTTTACACAATTCTGATTTAGCGTTGTTTTTGGAAGATTCCACGTGATTAGTATATTGGGTTCAATAAAGTTTATTTGAAAGTTTTGAAAAGTTTTGGAATATGGACATTTAGTGGGAGTTTGCATTAAAATTCCTTTTATACAATTGTCATTGGTTTTCAATCTAGTTTCTTTAACAAATACTTCTTCATTTTTTATGTAGTACTTGTCGTATGTCATATCTGTTAACATGTTATTTAATTCGTCTGGATACGGAACGATTTTATAGATTGGTACTTTTGTAATGTCTTCGGGAATGTTGGAAATTATTAGAATTTCGTTGGTATCGGATTTTAGCCATGTGGAGGTTTTTATATTTAGTATTTTCTCAGAATTTATTTGTTCCAGGTAGTCTTGTTTTAATAATTTTGGATTAAATATACCGAGCCTAGTTAATTGCATACCTAGTTCTATATCTTCGATATATTCTGTGAAATGTTGTAGATTGAATATCAAAATTTATATTTGTTGATTCCTGTCTTTTTCTTCATTTAGTTTGTTTACAAATTTAGTTCATTCATTTGAATGCTATGGCTAGCTAAATTTTCGATTTTTTGTTCCAAATCGACTTTATCTTCCTGATCTAGTGTTCCAAAGAGATATTTGTAGGCTGTTCCTACTATATTGATTAGGCCTCTTTTATTTCTTTTGGTTATTTTTAGCCCGTTCATTTCTCTTTGCAATTTGTCTACTAGATATTTTATTTGGATTATGTCCTGGAATTTAGTGGCTTGCCTTAACAAATTTTGGTATAGTTCTTCGGTTTTAGTTACATTAACAGTTAGATAATGGATTTCGTAATTGATAGGTATGTTAATCGATCCAGTTTTGAATATCATATATCCGTTTTGGGATTTTATAGAATTTATTTCTATGTTTTGGCCCTGTGCCATTACGATGGTAATTATGAGGAAGATGAGGATTTTAATTGTGTTGAAGTTCGCCGATTCCATTAACTTCCTCGGTTTCTCTGGAATTATTATATTTGCTTCTATTAGATTTCTTCTTTTTCTTGAATTTTGATTTATAATGAGTTATTTTCCTACCCCTATTCTTTTCTTCATAATGTTTTTCGTCTACCTGTCTAATTTCACCCGTCCTTTTGAAAGGATTTGTTACCTTAGACTTAACTAGAGGTGATAGTTTATAGCGGGTATCTACTTCATACTCTATGCGGTTTTTATTTAATTGAGTGATTTTATTCACTTTATTTAGTTGTGTGTCATAATCAGGTGAGCCTGCATAAATGAATATATCAGCTGGTGTCCTATTTGTGGTATTATGTTTGGTTTTATGATTATAAGTATAAATAATTAATTCAAACTTCGTGAATCTATCTTCTGTGTTATC